CTCGGCTATTTATATCAATCCCTACAGAATTTGCAATCTGCATTCTTGCAGTTTCTATTATATTTTTTGCATAACGTCCAGTTGTATGGATAGAGGATGGATTATAGGTGCCGTCAAGTAAACCCACGACCAGCTCCTTAACTTTAGGGTGCAAACGAGTAGTCGCATTATGATCCAAGTATAACATAGGGGTTATTTATACTAAATCTGTTTTATCATACTTATTTGATATTAATACATCTTCTATCGAGATATTATTAAAATACTCTCTGATATGATTACTCAAGCCAATCCATAAATAATGAGAAGATAAAAGCATCCGGTAAAACGTTGCCAATCTATATGGGTTATCAATCAACGACTCCTCTTGACCCTAGAGTGCTAGAGTCGATGTTACCTTATTTTATCAGTAAATTTGGAAATCCACATTCTAGGAGCCACTCTTTTGGGTGGGAAGCTGAAGAAGCGGTAGAAGTTGCTAGGGGTCAAGTGGCAAAGCTTATTAATGCAGAACCTAAAGAGATTATTTTTACTTCTGGAGCAACTGAAGCAAATAATCTAGCAATTAAGGGAATAGCCCGGTTTTATGGTAGTAAAAAGAAACATATCATAACTGCGGTCAGTGAACATAAGTGTGTTTTAGATGCTTGCAGGCATCTGGAAGACGAAGGTTTTGAGGTAACATATTTGCCAATTCAAGCTAATGGGTTAATTAATTTAGAAACATTCAAGGATGCGGTACATGATAACACTATGTTAGTGTCTATTATGGCTGTTAATAATGAAACAGGGGTCATTCAGCCACTTAAAGAGATAGGTAAAATCTGCCGGGAACGAGGTATTTTTTTTCATTCAGATATTGCCCAAGGATATGGCAAGATTCCAATTGATGTTAATGAATGTAATATAGATTTAGCCAGTATTTCAGCTCATAAAATTTATGGCCCTAAAGGGATAGGAGCTTTATATGTGAGAAAGAAACCAAGAGTACGATTAGTGCCAATTTTTAATGGAGGGGGACAAGAAAGGGGAATGCGTTCTGGCACTTTACCTACCCCTTTAATTGTTGGGTTAGGGGTAGCAGCGGAGATAGCTTTAGTAGAAATGGAAAAAGATATTAAGCATGTAGAAGAACTTTTTAATAGATTTTATGAAAAATAATTATTGTTCATGTACATGTAATACTTTCAATTGCTTGACGAATAAAAATATTAGTAATAATAATTATTATTATTCTGGTTACAATTCGATTCATCCAATTGATAAACCATTAACCAATGTTGACTGTAATATATTGAATCAACATAATGGTATGGTTTTTCGTTTAAAGAAATTAAATAATATATGTCAGAGTATTTTCATAGGAAATATGAATAATCAGTATGGATATAATAGACGAGAATGTTGTAGTTGTTTTGGTAATTATTATCAAAATATGTACAATAGACAAGATCGTATAAATAATATTTATGTAAGTAGAAGATTGAACAATTTTGGTACGAGTTTTGTAATTTGAAATTTAGGCAATAGTGATTGTGGAAAATATTGGACATACGTGTTGCACATGTCGAAGAGAAAAAAAACCATTGAAGATTCGAAAAATAATTCCGAACTCGGTTTTTATAAAAGATGAAGATGAAGAAGTATGCTTTATTTAGATTTTGCATGCAAGATTTGAACGTTGTTAATATTTTGTTTTTGTTTTTGGGATTTTAGTGTTATCATATTGAATGTGCACTTCGTTTTGGTCCTTGGACATCATTAGATTGGAGCAACGTTTCAGAAAGAAAAAAACGAAATTTTTATAACAATTTAAATAGCAAATTAATTTTAAAAAAATTGTTAAAACGAAATATGATTATTTTTGTTTCTTCTTATTGTTAATCATGAACTATTATAAATATAATACTTGTTTGCTGAGAATCTAGCAATACAAAAATGATGTTTATGAAGATAATAATCAGATAGAATTTTAGTTATGAACTGATAATGTTTAATAAAAAATAATGTTCGATTCATCATCGAAGATGGATTGACAACTAGTCCAATATATTTGTTGAATAAAGTATTGTTGCATTAACAACTATCCATATACATTTACTAGCTTAGTTATGTAACATTACGTGAACACCATTAACTTAAGTTTAAAACTGAACTAAATAGTATATTCTTGTCTTGTTTAATGAATATCGCTAAGATCTATAGAAAGATATTTTAAAAGAAAACGAATATTTTAAAGAAAATATTAATTATGTTATTATTATAAGACGAAAATAGTTAAGTCCATAAATTCACACTTACTAAGAAACCTTTCATTTATTAACGTGTTTATATCTAATTATTCTGATATTTGGATTTCATTGATTCTAATAGTTGAGTCTGCATTTATCTACAAAGTTCTCTTTCTTGTACAGAAGAGTCGAAGTAAACATAAATTGTCTGCTTGCTTGCTTGTATGTCTGCAGTTCACCGATTGGCTGGAGATCAATCCAAGAAGAAAAGGGATAACTATCTTAAAAACTTGATCGAAGGTAATTGAAGGTGGAGAAATCCGAATCCGAGTTCAATTTTAACTAATTAATTATTAATTACTTATATTTTCGAAAAAACTTGACCGAAGATAATATAGAGTGAAGAACCCAAATCTGAGATCTGTTTTGATTTTCTTCTAAGTACTACTATTAATAGTGCTTTTTCTGGAAAACTTGATCAAAAATTTTTCAAATAAAAAACGA